TTTTATTTTAAGATTACTGAAAACAACCTCTTATTCCTTAAGACATTCACATCCCTTCATCTCAAAATAAACAAATATTCCCTTAGTCAAATTATTTTGATTAGGGTCAAGTAATGCTTATGAGGTTTCGTATATTTTCATGCAATTTAATTAAAATAGAACCTAGATCGATATGCGCCAAATTACATATTTACATACATAACATGCATAAAAATAATAATAATACAATTAATATATACATAAAATATTATTTATTAAATTATATTATACTTAGAAAGCAAAGATTAATAATATAGCACATATGTATGAATTTAAAATTCCTAAGAAGTTATACATCAAAAAAAATAAAAATTCTAAGTTTTCATCTATTAACAAATATATATATATATATATATATATATATATATAACTTAGGATATAAATACTTATATTATATCTAGAAAGTGCAAAACACACATATATATGTATATATGTATATCAAAATAAAATAAATGAAATAAATATACATATGATATAAGGTATTTCCTAAATATATAGGTATGCACATATTAAAAACTCAATTAAAACAATGAAAAGCATACAAATCAAATTATAATAATTAAAAATATAAAGGGCACTAAAGTAGTAAAGATCAAGGATTAACAATTCAAAAAACACAAAATATAATACTGGAAATGTAAATTACCAAAATATACATCATGGACTAAAATATAAACTTGTAAAATTAGACATCAAATGTAAAACAAATAAAAACAGAATGACAAATCATATAGGATCAAAAAATAAGGTGTTTAAAATAAAAGGACCAATTTCAAAACACTAAAAGCCTCGAAATGAGGACTAAATTGCAATAATCTAAACTTTGGAGCAATATAACAAGAATTTTTAATGACTAAAATGAAACTCTACAACATTAGGATGGCCAGAAAAGGGATTATCCCACGCGCAAAAGGTTTAAAAACCCTAATCTAAAAGGTACATCATTTTAGGTTTAATATAAATATCCCATTATAGGGTTTTTGGAAACCCTAGCCCTCATTTTATCTTCTTTTCAACCATTCCTCTCTCAAACTCTCTTTTTTTTTTCTTTCTTTTTTTTGTTCAAAACAAAAAACACATTCGGTGGCCACAAACCATTGTGGCCACCACTGCATGTGCCCCGATAAAGGGATAACCCCCTCGAAAATACCCAAAACACAACCCCCTAATCTCCTTAACCCATAAACCAAAACTTTTACACCCTAAAACTCCCCCAAACCGTAACTCGAAATAAACAAATGGGTAACCTTTTGATGCTTGACAAGTTCCCTCATCGTCGGTGAGGTAAAGACCGAGGTAAGGTCTCTTTTTTCTTTTCTTTTTTTTTTATGTTTTTCCTATTATTTTTTTTCTTTTTTTTCTTCGAAAACCACTATGTTTTTTCCCTTTTTCCCTTTTTTTTTAAAACCGAACCTCCCCCTTGAATATTCTCCTCCTTTTTGTTGTTGCTCTTGCATGTTTAATGAGTCGAACAACAATATAGTGGTTCGGTTGATGGTTATGGCTCTGGGAAATTATGGTTATCGGATTTCTTGGGAATTGGTTGTCATTTTTATTATTTATTTGATTTGGTTTGCTGATTTGGTTGATGGTTGAATAGGGGAGGTGATGCGACCATCGACGTGGTTTCTCAAATCGACATGGAGTTTTGGCTGGCAGTGGCAGGGGGAGTGACTAGCGACGGTGGCTACTATTGATGGCTAGGGTTTCAAAAAATCCTAAAATCACTTGGGCTAGGGTTTCCCAATATTAGGCTTGATGGGTGACTTGGATTGGGCCAGTTGGCCTCTTGTAATTGAGCCCCAAATTTGGCTTGTAAAGCTACAAAAATAATATATATAAAATAAGAAATAATAATATAATAAAAACCTAGACAAACACGAGTGTCTATACAGAACATTGTACTCTTTTGAGCAATTGTTTTCATTTCTGATGGTCGTATGGGCAGTTCAACTCTGGAACCCCAAGAATAGCCTTGCTCAATTACCGTCAGGACCTCAAGGGTTATCGATCGTGGGATTAGGGCTGTAAATGAGACGAGACAGATCACGAGCTACTCGAGATTGACTCGATCAAGGCTCGATAAATACTCGGATCGAATGGACTCGACTCGAGCTCGAGTCGAGTTCTTAACGAGCCGAAACGAGCTACTCGATATTCGACTCGAAAAGCTCGTGAACAACTCGAAAATATAATATATTAAAATTTTATTTTTTTAGAAATAAATTATTAATAATATTAATATTTATGTATTGATTTTTTATAAAAAAAAATACAGTAAGATTTCTTGTATTTAAGGTTCTTGTTCGAGTTTGAGGCTTCAATTGAGTTAAGTTTAATATATTTTTTTAATTTCAAGCCTTTTCGAGCTGCTCACGAGCTTCAGTTTAGGATTTCGAGTTCGAGTCGAGCTTGAAAATTTTAAGCTCGCGAGTTTTCGAGTCGAGTCGAGCTTCATTTCAAAGTTTTCGAGTCGAGCTCAGCAATACTCGAGCTCGACTCGGCTCGTTTACACCCCTACGTGGGATATCTTCCATTTCTTGGAATCGATAATCTTCACTTGTTCTTCACGCAACTGGCTGGAGTCTATGGTCTGGTTCGGGAACAAACTATGTGTCGTAAATAGCTAACCGGAGCTATTTAAACAAGTGGTTTGTGACAATGACTTAACATTATCCAAGCGAGATCCACCCATTGCTGCACAAATTGCTAGCTTTGGCTGCAACGATATCGCATTCAATTCATACAGCGGCCTCGCCTGGAAAAACAAGCGTAAAGTTCTTGCAACTGAGTTGCTTACTAGTGTTGGACTCAATGCATGTTATGGTCTACGAAGAGAACAGGCAGTGAGAGCTATTGGGGATGTGTATGAAAACGTTGGCAAGCCAATTGACATTGGTAAATTGGCATTTTTAGTGTCGATAAATACAATCATTAGCATGATTTTGGGAGGCAAATTCAGAGGAGAGAAAGGGGATACCATTAAGGATCACTTCAAGGCGATTTATTCGGAACATATGGTGTTAATGGGAAAACTGAACGTCTCTGATATTTTTCTGGCGATTGTTCCGTTTGATATAAAAGGCATTGAGAGGAGGATGAATGAAATCCATTCTTTGTTCAATGAGCTTTTGGAGTCTCTAATTGAAGTGGTCGCCGAGGAGGACAAAAAAGATGAAAAATTAGTAGGCTTCTTACAACTGCTCTTGCATATGGAAAGTAACAAGAATAAAGATAATGCATCATCTCTTACAATGAATCAAGTCAAGGGTCTACTCACGGTAACATTTTGCTTTTAATCCATTCTTTCATCCATCCATCCATCCATCCATCCATCCATCCATCCATCCATCATCCATCCATCCATCATCCATCCATCCATCCATCCATCATCCATCCACCATCCATCCATCCATCCATCCATCCATCCATCCATCCATCCATCCATCCATCCATCATCCATCCATCCATCCATCCATCCATCCATCCATCCATCCATCCATCCATCCATCCATCCATCCATCCATCCATCCATCCATCCATCCATCCATCCATCCATCCATCCATCCATCCATCCATCCATCCATCCATCCATCCATCCGTCCGTCCGTCCGTCCATCCATCCATCCATCCATCCATCCATCCATCCATCCATCCATCCGTCCATCCATCCATCCATCCATCCCATCCATCCATCCACCATCCATCCATCCCATCCATCCATCCATCCATCCATCCATCCATCCATCCATCCATCCATCCATCCATCCATCCATCCATCCATCCATCCATCCATCCATCCATCCATCCATCCATCCATCCATCCATCCATCCATCCATCCATCCATCCATCCATCCATCCATCCATCCATCCATCCATCCATCCATCCATCCATCCATCCATCCATCCATCATCCATCCATCCATCCATCCATCCATCCATCCCATCCATCCATCCATCCATCCATCCATCCATCCATCCATCATCCATCCATCCATCCATCCATCCATCCATCATCCATCCATCCATCCATCCATCCATCCATCCATCCATCCATCCATCCATCCATCCATCCATCCTCCATCCATCCATCCATCCATCCATCCATCCATCCATCCATCCATCCATCCATCCATCCATCCATCCATCCATCCATCCATCCATCCATCCATCCATCCATCATCCATCCATCCATCCATCCATCCATCCATCCATCCATCCATCCATCCATCCATCCATCCCATCCATCCATCCATCCATCCATCCATCCATCCATCCATCCATCCATCCATCCATCCATCCATCCATCCATCCATCCATCCATCCATCCATCCATCCCCATCCATCCCATCCATCCATCCATTCATCCATCATCATTCATCCATTCATTCATTCATGGCGGAACTTGGTGAAAGAGTTTGAAGGTTAAACTTAAAATTTAAAAAATTTATAGATTTAAATTTAATTTTTTTAAAATTATGAAAACTTCAGTTTATAAATTTTAACAAAACAAATTGGGGTCTAACTAAAGTTTTTGAAATTTTGAGATAATAATAATTTTTAAAAATATGGGAGGTATTTAATTAACAATATTAAAAAAAATTAAAGACTAATATGAATTTTTAAAAATTTTGTGGGGTCAAATTATTTATTTTGAAAATTTTAAAGGTCTAAATTATAATTTTTCAAATTTTTAATGGTCGTGCCCCCACTAGTTCCCATTATGTTCCGCCGTTCCATCCATCCATCCATATATAAGCTAATGCTTTTTTTTTGTAACATAGGACCTGTGGTGGGTGGTACGGATACAACTGCAACTATGGTAGAGTGGACAATGGCAGAGCTAATGCAGCATCCAAAACAATGGAAAGTGAAACAAGAGTTAGTGATGTTGTTGGGCTACACAACACCGTTGAAGAGTCCCACTTACCTAATTTAAGGTACCTAAATGCAGTGATAAATGAGACGTTCCGATTGCATCCACCGCTGCCACTTGTTCCCCGTTATTGGCTCGGTTGTATACCATAGCAAAGGGCAACAGGGTTTTCTTAAATACATGGTTCATTCAAGGGATCCCCATATCTGGGACAATCCTTTAGAATTCACACCTGAGAGGTTCTCGAATGGCATTCCTGGCACGTTTGATTATTATGGAAATGATTTTCGGTTCATGCCATTTGGGTCTGGTAGGAGAAGGTGCCCATGAGTTCCATTGGTGGAGAAGATGTTATATTTCATATAGGCCTCGTTGTTGCATTCTTTTGAGTGGAAATTGCCACATTGAACAGTGATTGACATGTCCAGCAAATTTGGAATTGTTATGAAGAAAATGAAGCCTTTACTTGTTATTCCCACACCAAGGTTAACTAATTCTGAGCTCTACATAAAGTAATTGCTATTATGTACTAGTACTAGACTATTCTTGTATCTCTTTACTTGTTATTTCATGGCTTTATAGCAAATTTCTATAATGTGCTCGTACTATACCATATTGTATCTTTTTAGTTTTATACAGATTTATGATAGTTGATGAGTGAAAATTAATGGTTGTTTACTCTTGTTTCTTTCCCTAGAAAATATCTTCTTATTTCCTACTTTTAATCTCATCTATCTATTTTCACTCATCCAACGGGCATAAATTTGTGTCAAACAAAAATAGTTTTACACAATATAATTAAATCATATAATTAAAGGTGCCCAACCTATGCTCGTTTTTCCAGTTTAATGCCTAACATTTATTTCATTCCAGCTTAGTGCCTAACGTTTTATTCTGTTACTCAAAATAGGTCAAGCCGTGATGGACTGTTAGTTTTCTCCATTAAGTACACGTGTCACAATCTCGTAATTTTGAAATTTGTTTTTTTTAAATATTAAAAATCCCTAAAAATATTTATAAAAAACCTTATTTCTTTTAAATTACAAAAAGACTCAAAATCCCTAAAATCCCCAAATCATAACACTAACCCCCACCGTCGCCCTTTCCAGCCACGACCACCTCTGCCAACGTAGTCCTTGTTATCATCATAGTTATAAGTCGACGTAGTTGTTGTCGACTTGAAATCGCTTGGGATTGCGATTTTCATCCTAGGGTTCACGAGGTATAAAAGTTCGTCATCGATCGACCGTTGATCAGTCACGATTTCATAGCCGTGGGGAGGTGAGGTCGAGTGGAGCTTTGTCAACGGCAAATGGCGGCGATCGATGTAGGTTTAGGGGGGTTGAAATGAAGGTTTTCAAACTTTTGGGGTTATTTCAAAATTTATACATTTTTTTAATAAAAATATATAATTTTATTTTTTAAATTTTATATAAATTTTTAAAATTATCAGATTGTGACACATGTCACTTAACGAAGAAAACTAGCGGTCTGTCACGACTTGACCCATTTTGAGTAAGGGAATGAAGCGTTAGCGTTAAACACCAAAATAGAACGAAATAAACATTAGGCACTAAACTAGGAAAAACAAGCATAGGTTGGACACCTTTTGTAAATTTAAGCTTATATATATAATTATGTAGTTATCAGGGTTCGCACCAACTTACATAATTTTGTTTGTCTCAATTTAGTAGGCCTCATAATTTTTGGATAATATGTGATTTATTAAATCTAGAAAAGGATAAAATACACAAATAGTTCCCCAATTATAGGACATTGTTTTGTTGAATCTTCCGATTATTAAAAGTTATAAGATGGCAATTTGACTATATGACATTGCTTTGTTGAGTCCTTCAACTATTAAAAGTTACAAAATGATCACCTGACTATTCATATGTTTCAAATTGGTCTCTTTTTGGAAAACGTTTAACGGTCATTTGAGTTAGACATTAATATACTGACTGAGATATGATAACCATTTGAGATTCTGGGATCATATTTTAGCATATCTCATATTGCCGTCAAATTTTTAATAAAAAGGATGAGGTTGGAATATATGAATAGTCAGATGATCATTTTGTAACTTTTAATAGTCGGGGGACTCAACAAAGCAACGAGTGATGGATCATTTTGTAACTTTTGTAATTGAAGGATTCAATAAAGTAACACTAATAGTTGAGGGACCATTTATATACTTTATCCCAAAACAAGTGAAAGTGCAAATTCGAATATTGGATCCGATCTTATCTGAAAATTCAGATATATGAAAATTTCAGATATCTAAAATAGTGATTCGTATCCAATCCAAAAAACATCGGATATCTGAATCTGAATTGTTGGATCGGATATCTGGATCCAAATATAAAATTTAATTTGACAAAAAAATTAATTTTAAATTTTGTGACTTAATGTAACTTATTTGATACCTCTACCATATTATATATATATATATATATATATATAATTACCCACACAAAAAATAATTAAATATCCTATTTTTTATTGGACTAGAGCTTTAATGGTTAGAGGGTTACTCATTTATTTTGTTAAAGACTATCTAAAATCTAAAAGTTAATTTTTTCTTCTTCAAATTTTTAGATAATTCGAAATTGGAATTTATTTCATTTGTATTCGATTTGATTATCCAAATTTTTTTAGATATCCGATCAGAATTATCTGAAAATCAAAAAATAGGTTGAATATATGAATTTTCAGATTGAATTGACGGATCAGATTTTTTGTACACCCTAAATGAAAGTATTATTGTCTAGCTTAATTCTCACAATTTTTTAATCAAATCAAGCAATTGTTCTTCGTTTCTCCAATGGACACCAAACTTCATATTATTTTTCTTTCCATCATATACAATACACATGAACATTCCATACCAATCTCAAAACTGATTTTCTTTTAGACTATATCTTTACCCGTTAACAAATAGGCCTCTTAATTTTATTCTTAAAAGATAATTCATATGTTAATTTATATCTCAATACCAATTCAAAACACAACCAATGTAATTATATGATAGTTTTTCCCCAGTTTTTTTTTTACCATTTGTGTCGCTTTCATTCTTTCAATAGTTCGAGGACCAAATTTCGATATTCAATTAGCTTTGGGTCATTTGTCTCCCATTCTCCCCTTAGTTGAATGGTTTTCTTTAACCCCATAATGCATGCTTCTTATTCTGCCATGTTGATGGTGCAAAAGAATTCCAATATACTTGTGAAAAGATAGTAGATATGTTATGGGGAAATCAACACTACCCCAATTCTTTTCCCTAAAGCGTTAGAGGCTCCATCAAAGTACAATGTCCAGGATTTGTTGCCAATGGAACTTTCTTCTTTAGTAGAAATGCACATCAAATCCTCATCTGGGATATTGAAGTTTAGAGGCTCATAATCTTCATAGGTATGACTCTTAAGAAAGTTGGCTATGGAGATCCCTTTTATTGCCTTTTGGCTCACATAGACAATATCAAATCTAGACAACAACATCTGCCATCTAGCCAGTCTGCCAGTCAGAGCAGGAAACTCCATCAAAAATTTTAATGGATCCATCCTCGATATTAGCCACGTGGTATAGTATAACATGTACTGCCTGAGTCTCCGGGTTTCCCAAACTAAAGCACAACACAACTTTTGAATCGGTGGGTATCGAGCCTCGTAAATAAGTGAATTTCTTGCTCAAATAATAAATGGCTCTCTCCTTTTTTCCTGACTTGTCATGTTGCCCTAGCACGCAGCCCATTAAATTCTTGAAGACGGTTAAGTAGAGAATTAGTGGCATGCCAGGTACTTGTGCTACTAGTATGGGGGCATTGGAAATGCATTTCTTGATAATTTTTAGAGTCTCTTAACATTTCGTTATTCCATACCTCATAATTATTCTTCCTGAGCAATTTGAACATTGGATCGCACTTATTAGTCAGCTGAGAAATGAATAGAGATATATAATTTAGTCTTCCAAGGAACCCTCAAACTTCTTTCTGTATGTAAGGCACCGAAAGATCTTGAATTGCCTTGACTTTATCTGGATCGATCTCGATTCCTTTCTGACTCACCACGAGCCAAGTAGTTTCCCTGATTTTACCCCAAATGGCAATTGGCGGGATTAAGCTTTAATTGATACTTTCTTATTCTTTGGACAATTTTCTCATATTTTGTACATGCTCTTATTCTGTTCGGGACTTGACAATCATGTCATCTATGTATACTTCAATTTCCTTATGCATCATGTCATGGAAAAGTGTTACCATGGTTATTTGATAGGTTGTCCCGACATTTTTCAACCCAAACGACATCATACTATAGTAGAAATTCCCCCACACGGTTATAAATGTTGTTTTCTCCTTGTCCTCAGGATTCATTTTGATCTGATTATACCCCTAGAAGCCATCCATAAAAGAAAACCATGAATGCCACATAGTGTTGTCCACCAGAGTATCTTTATGAGGCAAGGGAAAATTGTTCTTTGGGCAAACCTTATTAAGGTCTCGATAATCCACGCACATGCGAACCTTCCTATATTTCTTAGGTACCAAAACTATATTGGCTACCCATTCGGGATACTTTGCCTCTTGAAGGAAACCTGCATCAATCTGTTTTGTCACTTCCTCTTTTATCTTTAATAACATTTATGGATTTATTCTCCTAAGTTTCTGATGAATTTGCTTGTATTCTGGTTTAATAGGAAACTTATAGACTACTATATCAGTGCTTAACCCAAGCATATCTTGATATGACCATGCAAAGACATCTTTACACTCTTGTAGCAAACTTATCAATTATAGCCTTATTCCTGCAGATAGTGGAGTGCCAATTTTTATCTCTCTCTTTACTCCTGTTGTTCCCAAATTCAAAAGCTCTCTATTTCTTATTTATGTTAGAATCTATTTCTATTCTTTTTCATCAATCATAATAGCTCATTAGGAACTTCACAGTCTTTTTCATCTTCGCACTTATTGACTTCTTCAGACACAAAGGTCGCTCGAAATCTATCTTGTAATTGGCCTCAGGAAAATTTTTTCTAGTATTATTGCGACATCTATATAAAATTTGGCTTGGATGTATTGAACTATAAAGAACAAAGAATATAGAATAAAGAATATGGTGCAAAGAACGCGATGCAAAAATATGAAGAATGAAAGTGATTGTCATTTGAGAAAATAAGAAATTATCTTTCATTAATCAATTTTGGTAACATTGAGTTTTATAAAAAGTTCTTTTAGATACTTTCAAAATGCTAACATGAGTTATATATGGGCATTACTTTGAGTTAACCCTAAAAACTATAGAGAGGTATTTAATTATCCAGTTGTTGAGTTCTTCACCAGGTAAGCAAGGACAAATTCCAGCTAAAAACTTTCTAGGCTGGTTGCCGCTAGTAATCATGTTTACAGATATTCCTTCCAAAGTTTCTCCCTCAATTCCTCTTCTTTTGTCAACTCCTCAATCCTGATGGCACTGACCAGCTTTGCACCACGTCGTATACTCCTCCTAATTTAAAAGAGTTCT